CAACCAGGCTGGATTGTGTGAGGAGTTGAAAAATCCTTGAAAGATCTGGACAAAGTCCCATCGGTGAGCTCCTCCAGCACGCAAGGCTTTGTTGGCTGGGTCATGTAGCCCGCATGCCCAGCCACCGCATGCTGAAACAGCTTTTGTTTGGAATAAAACGGGCGCGGCACGGGCTAGAGAAGAGATGGAGTGATGTGGTACAGGAGGACGTGGAGCTGAGTGGACTTGCCGATGACTGGTACCAGCAGTGTCAAGATCGGCCTCTGTGGAGGAGGCTCATAAAGGACGCTACTGGGCAGTTGGACGCAGTCGCCCTCCAACAACAAAGCGACGCTCACAACAATGAGCGGAGCTGTGCCCCCTTACTGTGCCACATTAAATTGGCACAGTAGGGGGCACAGGTGGTGCAACAGCCAGTCGTCTCAGTCAGTCGACCCGTGGCACCTGGGTCTGCCCCGTGACCTCCTGCCGGCGGGCGTTCGACACTTCACGTGGCCTCAACGTGCACATGGCCTGGCACAAGCGTCGTGGTGACGTCACCGCCACTTAGTGGCGAATGGCGGTTGTTGTTGTGTGTGTAACCCATAGTGTGTAACCCATAGTTAGTGTGTAACCCAAAGTGAGTGTGTAACCCATAGTGTGTGTGTGTAACACATAGTGAGTGTGTGTGTAACACATAGTGAGTGTGTAACTCAGTGTGTGTGTGTAACCCAGTGTGTGTGTAACCCATAGTAAGTGTGTAACCCATAGTGTGTGTAACCCATAGTGAGTGTGTAACCCATAGTGTGTAACCCATAGTGTGTGTGTAACCCATAGTGAGTGTGTAACCCATAGTAAGTGTGTAACCCATAGTGTGTGTGTAACCCATAGTGTGTGTGTAACCCATAGTGTGTAACCCATAGTGAGTAACCCATAGTGTGTAACCCATAGTAAGTGTGTAACCCATAGTGAGTGTGTAACCCTTAGTGTGCGTGTAACCCATAGTGAGTGTGTAACCCATAGTGAGTGTGTAACCCATAGTGTGTAACCCATAGTGAGTGTGTAACCCTTAGTGTGTAACCCAGTGTGTGTGTGTAACCCATAATGAGTGTGTGTAACCCAGTGAGTGTGTAACCCATAGTGTGCGTGAAACCCATAGTGTGTGTGTGTAACCCATAGTGAGTGTGTAACCCATAGTGTGTAACTCAGTGTGTGTGTATAACCCATAGTGAGTGTGTAACCCATATTGAGTGTGTGTGTAACCCATACTGAGTGTGTAACCCAGTGTGTGTGTGTAACCTATAGTGTGCGTGTAACCCATAGTGTGTGTGTGTGTGTAACCCAGTGTGTGTGTGTAATCCAGTGTGTGTAATCCATAGTGTGTATCCCATAGTGTTTGTGTAACCCATAGTGAGTGTGTAACCCATAATGAGTGTGTAACCCATAGTGTGTGTGTAACCCATAGTGAGTGTGTAACTCATAGTGTATGTGTGTAATCCATAGTGAGTAACTCATAGTGTGTAACCCATGGTGTGTGCGTAACTCAGTGTGTGTGTAACACAGTGTGTGTGTAACCCAGTGACTGTGTAACTCATAGTGAGTGTGTAACCCATGGTGTGTGTGTAACTCAGTGTGTGTGTAACACATAGTGAGTGTGTGTGTAACCCAGTGTGTGTAACACACAGTGTGTAACTCAGTGTGTAACTCAGTGTGTGTGTGTAACCCATAGTGAGTGTGTAACCCATAGTGTGTAACTCAGTGTGTGTGTATAACCCATAGTGAGTGTGTAACCCATATTGAGTGTGTGTGTAACCCATAGTGTGTGTGTAACCCATAGTGTGTGTAACCCAGTGTGTGTGTGTAACCCAGAGTGTGTGTGTAACCTATAGTGTGCGTGTAACCCATAGTGTGTGTGTGTAACCCAGTGTGTGTGTAATCCATAGTGTGTATCCCATAGTGTTTGTGTAACCCATAGTGAGTGTGTAACCCATAGTGAGTGTGTAACCCATAGTGTGTGTGTAACCCATAGTGAGTGTGTAACTCATAGTGTATGTGTGTAATCCAGTGAGTAACTCATAGTGTGTAACCCATGGTGTGTGCGTAACTCAGTGTGTGTGTAACACAGTGTGTGTGTAACCCAGTGACTGTGTAACTCATAGTGAGTGTGCTACCCATGGTGTGTGTGTAACTCAGTGTGTGTGTAACACATAGTGTGTGTGTAACCCAGTGTGTGTAACACAGTGTGCAACTCAGTGTGTAACTCAGTGTGTGTGTGTAACCCATAGTGAGTGTGTAACACAGTGTAACCCATAGTGTGTGTGTGTAACTCGGTGTGTGAGTGTGTAACTTAGTGTGTGTGTAACTCAGTGCGTGTGTAACACATAGTGAGTGTGTGTGTAACACATAGTGAGTGTGTGTGTAACCCAGTGTGTGTGTAACACACACTGTATGTAACTCAGTGTGTGTGTGTAACCCATAGTGTGTGTGTAACCCATAGTGAGTGTGTAACACAGTGTGTGTAACCCATAGTGTGTGTGTAACCCATAGTGTGTGTGTAACTCGGTGTGAGTGTGTAACTCAGTGTGTGTAACTCAGTGTGTGTGTAACACATAGTGTGTGTGTAACCCATAGTGTGTAACTCGGTGTGTGAGTGTGTAACTAAGTGTGTGTGTGTAACCCATAGTGTGTGTGTAACCCATAGTGAGTGTGTAACCCAGTGAGTGTGTAACACAGTGTGTGTAACCCATAGTGTGTGTGTAACTCAGTGTGTGAGTGTGTAACTCAGTGTGTGTGTGTGTAACCCACATCTGGACGGGATTAACCACACGGCCTTCGGTCGTCCAGCGGGGGCCCGAGTCGGCCTCGTCTCGGCAGTGCGTGCCAATTGAGGAGTGCGAAAGCTTCCGCTCTTCCGCTGTCCACGTGACACCGCACGAGGCCGAGTGTCCGAATGAGAACCTTCATTCAGGCTGGAAGAATCCGATGATCTATGAAGCTCTTTTCGCGTCAGATGTCCGGTTGTCGGTGCCCCCCCCCCCCGCCGAAGTGTCGTGCCCACAGCGACCAAATCACTCTTCTGATCGTAAACTAATCAACAGCATCGTCGTGGAAATACATTTATCTAACAGAGCGACAGCACGACTTGCACTGCCCGCCTGGGAGCGACTACATTTGGTGGTTTCAAGACGAGGAAACGCTGCACCGGTTGTTGCGACTCGCCGATGAGGGACTGCGAGAGCGAGGTTTGAATCGTCAATGCTAGCGAGCTGCCGATGGGTTTCTCGAGACGTCGCGGTACAATGGATCCACCGTGCCAGAATCCGGCCCGTGGCCAAAATCACCCCGAAAGCCAAGCAGGAGCTGAGCCTGGACAGGACAGGCGGTGTAGAGGGCGGTTTCAGCAAAACCCATTGTGCACTTTCCCCGTCACCACCAACCATTGGGCATTAATTGGCGTGGTGTGAACCACGTGGAGGTGTGAAGCGGTGGGGGCGCGTGGTGTGGACCACGTGGTGGGGTGGTGCGTGGTGTGTGCCACGTGGTGGTGTCGACCACGTGGTGGTGTGGTTCTTGTAATCACAAGAACCACCCCACCACCGTCACGGCCCACTCTTGCACGACCATTCACGCCAGCACAAATCGCTGCTTACTGAATTTTTTTTTAATAATCTGACATAAAATACATTTCTTTGCGAGAGAGAAAAACGAAAGCTAAATTTACTTAAGTTCTAAAAAAAGAAAGTTTGTTACGCATGTACCAACAAAACAAAATACAAAACGATAACGAAGGGGAAGCCGTCAACAACGGCCGAACATCACGGAGCGGAGAGAGCACATTTAGTGTTCACGAGACGGCGCCCGAGGCCAAAATGTAGACGTTTCAAACCGTTTATTAACAGATTAAAAAATATAATAAAGTAAATCAGCTCGGACCTTTGTCATTTATGTTAGCGAGCACCTATTAAGGCCAGCAGTGGTGCCAGTAATAGACCGTTTACGCTCTTGTAGAAAGAAATATCCCAGTCATTAAAAAAGGTGAATTGCGATGTCTCACCAACTCCGCCTTGCAGCGGTAAATTCCAAATGACCATTTGGCAGATGTCTTGTGCAGCCCTCCGATGTGTGTTGGGTTGCGGTGCACCGACGACGTTTCGTGTACTTGAGCTTCTCCGGGTGAACCGAAACATTCGCTACAAAACCACGGACGGGGCGGAGAGCCATCGGACCGTGGACGTCGGCGCCCATGGAAGTGTTTGGGGTCTTTGTCTCCGGGGGCACTCCCACTCTGTCCTCTCACACGAAACCACTCCTCGATGAATGGTCTTAAACCATCTCAAGGTTGCAAGGGCACCCTTAGCAATGTCTCAAGACTCTGGGAGGATTTCCAGAGTTAAATCAACTCATCTCATTTTTTCCACCGACCATGCCAAACGGGAATCGAACCATGATATGCTGGTTCGGGGGGCCAAGCAGGGCCAGGGATGGAGGGGGAAGGCGAACAACAAGTTAATTGCAGTGTGAGAAGAAAACGCATCTGTAAACTCCTTTCAGCAATGGATGTGCCACAAATGCACTCACGAACGTGCCACTCTATTGCTCGACTTCTATAGCTGCATAATTTTAGCTGCACTTGCGCCAGGGGGCCGCGTGCCGTTGTCGGCGAGCCCCAAAGGGAACATCGGAGCAGAGACCCCCTTGCTTCTAACAGCACCTTGACGACGTCGTCATTGTTAAGACCTCGGCGAGCCACGCTCGAGTGGGGCCTCCTCGGGTTTACACCGCAGATCCTCAGTCCCTCCTCGCGTCTGTTCATCTCCCCCCCCACCCTCCCCCCCACCCTCTACCCCCCACCCTCTACTCCCCCCCCCCCCCCCAGTTTCTAGCAAAATGAGCATTCGTCGGGCAGTGAAGGCAGCGGAGTGGATTGTCTGAGCGAAGCGCCACCCGCCCAAGGCCTTCAAGCGGTGGAGCCCGTTGCCCTCCTCCATTGGGCTACGACGTTCGGTTGTCACCTATTTCTATTTTTGTTCTCCACGCGCGGGCAGGAGCGTGGTTGCACGCCCGCACGCGTAACTTCTTTCGCACCGTACGTAGCCAACCGTGCTAATCGTCGGGAGGCGCTTTAAACCGGGCACGGCAGTGACTGCCCCTGAGCGGAGCCTCAACCGTTCGCCACACTGCCCCCCCCCCCCCCCCCCCCTCCTTGACGGCCGCGCGAGCCTCGCGCCTCCGTGCGGCGAGTTCAAGCGTCGAGTTTAGAACGCGTGGGTTCCTCCCCGGCGAGCGAACCGCACGGTAACGCGCTTCACACGGCGGCTCGCGCCCTGGTGGCAGCGGTCCGTGGTCGGCAGCCGACTTGCTCCGTTGACCCCAAACGCACGTGGAGGGCTTCGCACCGCGACCGCTCCCGAGCGAGCGGCGCCACCGCCGCTGACGATTCGAGCCTCTTGCGGCATCCCAACAACGAACTTGAGGAGCGATCGCCGGTGACGGGCCGGCCACGCCGCAAGCTCTGTAGCCTCTCCCGAGTGTTGTCTGTCACGTGCTTGTAGCGTCTCCCCAGTGCACCGCATCTCATTAGTTCCAAGTTAGCCTTTACTTACATGTTGCAGAAATGGCGAACGACCTATTCCTACAGGCACGCTCCCTACGCGTGTAACGATGGCGCGAGTCTAATTCGACGGATCACGAGGGGCGTATCGTTTCGCGGCTTACGCGTGAGTGTTAGGGCACTGGGGTAATGCTCAAGGGGTTCTGGATACGGTGAAGGGGGTGAGGGAAATATCTCTTAGAGGAAGCAGAATTGCACGCCGCATTAATCTCCAACACCGCCAATGGGGAATGGTGACCTGGGCTTAGTGGACAGGGTCGAGGTTACGACGATTGTCGGCACGACTCCACAGCAGCATTGTTGCCGAGGATTTCCACCACACCACCACCAACAACACCACCACAGTCCAGCCACGCCAATCCACTAGCCACAGCGAACGCAGCCCAGGACAGAACGGGGGCTTCCGCTGTGCGTCTCTCTCTATTGCTTTGTTTTGTTCTGTAAGCTTCCAACAGGAAGCATTCTTTGACACCTTAAGGCACTTCGATAGGCCAGCCATGGACGATGGCACCAACCCCAGCGCACTGAGCGAGAGAAAAATCTACGACTGCTGGTGATTAAAAAACTCGCGCGACAAGGCAGCGCTGCCCCGTCGCAGCCACACGTTGAACCCCGAGTCTCCGGTGATGACACCGTAACCCGGTCACCAGATCGTCATTAACCCCCCCCCCCGATCCCCCAAATCCCCCCAACCCCCCCCACCTCGCACGCAAACTCTACTTTGACCTCTGACTGCGGCAGGCGCGTGACGCCGCCGTCACATGACGTCGACGAAGAACTCGCACGGGTTTCCCATGGCCATGTGGAACGACTGGCGGCTGCCCATCAACTCGGGCGGCACAGACCCCAAGTCCCGCACGGGGGGGGCGCCTGGTGGGGGGGGGCCCCCCCCTCCGACCGCGGAGGGGGGCCCCGAGCCCCCGCCCACGCCGCCGGGCATCATCTGCGGCTGCTGCTGGTGCAGCTGGTGCACGTGAATGGGGCCCGGCACGGCGATCATCCCGGGCGGCACCGCGTAGGGCGGCGGGATCCCCGGCGGGCCGTACGCGTGGTGGTAGAACGGGGGGGGCGGCGGGGGCGGCGGGGGGGGCCCCGGCGGGTGGTGGTGGTGGTGCTGGTGGTGCGAGGAGCCGGCGGCGGACGACCCGGCGGAGCTGCGGCGCGCGGAGTGCGCCGAGTGCGCCTCGCTGCCGGGGAAGGAGCGGACGCTGTCGGCGCGCTCGCGCCGCTGCGCCGTGCCGGCGCTGGACACGCCGCTGCGCGTGGACGCGCGGTCCGACTCGCTGCCGCTGCCGGCGCTCGAGCGGCCCTCGTTCGCGCCGCCGCCCGCGGAACCGCTGCCGCCGATGCGGCGGTGGTCACGCTCCTTGCCTCCGCTGCGGTTTGAGCCGCTGCTGTGGCTTCCTGGTGGAGGAGAGCGCGGGAGAGAGAGGAGTAGCGGGGTGGGGAGAGGGTAGGGGGTGGAGAGAGTGGAGGGGCGGGGAGAGAGTGGGGGGGGTGGGGAGAGAATGGGGGGGGAGAGAGTGGGGGGGGCGGTGAGAGAAAGGGGGGGGGGCGAGGAAGGCGAGTGCTTAAAATAATGTACAGCTGGTGAGGATCTGGCTCATTTGTTTGAGCGGAAAAGACTCCCAATGAAGGCCCTCATCCAGCAACGGATGGACCACGGCCTGCACAGTTACACGGACGGTGCGCGTGTACTCTCATCACGTTCCCTACAAGGGATAGAAAACCGAGCCCGAATCGAGTCCACGTTTACGCCTCCCACCCCCTCCCGTCCACACAGCGGAAGGGACTGGGCACAACCGGTGTTAGAGTGGGAATAATTGTTCGTGCTGGAGGAATCGGATGAGCTACAAAGCTCTTCTTCACACACGTCCAGTAGGGGGCAGGTCACGCACGGTGGGGTAAATTGTGGGTAAGCCGACCTCTCACAAACCGTACACCGGCAAGCGTGGCCAAGGAGGCTGCCAAATAAAATACCCTCTCCTCTCCCTCTTCTTTCCCTCTCTCTTCTCTCCCTCCCTTGCTCTCTTCTCTCTCTTCTCTTGCGCTCCTTCGCACCAGCGGTGGAGCGAGCAAATCAATCGCCGCGGGCCGGCACCGCCGCCGACTCACCCTCGCTGTGCTGGCTGGGCGCGGCGGCCACGGCATAGGCATATCCGGTGACCTCGTGGTAGCCGGGCGGGTAGGGAGAGTAGGCGTGCGGGTGGGCGGGCACGGCCGGGGGTGGGTAGTGGTGGAACGCGGCGCCGTAAGGGTGGCTCAGAGTGGCCCAGGGACCGCCCGCCGCCAGCGGGAGCGGCGCCAGCGTGTCCTGGTCCGACGAGATGCTGGCGCAGTCGGGCTCCTGCAGGGTCAGCTTGCTGAGGTCTGATGGTGGGGGGGGGGGGGGAGGAGACAATGGGGAGGGAGTCGACAGGGGCGGAATGACGTGGTGGCTAGGAGATGTTAACCACCTCGCCTGGTATGCAGGTCGTGAATTCGATCTCGACCCTGACGCCTGCTGTATAATTGGAGTTTGCGTGTTCTCCCCGTGGTCGTGTGGATTTTTCTCCAGGCCCTCCGGTTTTCCCCTCCATATTTAGAAACATGTGTTTAACAGTATTTGGCTAATATAAATTTCGACACTTCAAGCCACTTTGTTGAGCTATCATTTGTGGGCAGGTCGCTTCTAAAAAGAGCTGCGTAGCTCGGTGGGCCTTACTTGGGAAAATAAAAATAGTTATGGCGAGAGCTGAAGTGTCAGGGTTTTGGGGTGTGGGTTTGGTTGGTGAGGACGTGCTGCGTTCAGGGGTAAAGAGGGAGGGGGTTGGTGCAGTGAGAGTCGGCAGTGAGCAATTAAGGATAAGCGGTGAGCGTCACCGGGCTAGAGAAGTACGTCTGTTGAACTTCTTCGGAAGGTACGTTCGCCACTCGCGCTGACCGGAGGTGCGGGGGAAGGACAACAAAACTAAACACAACAAGCAGTTCTAAATACATGAGCAGCGAGGTCACACAAAAACAACCGCCGTTCACCACTAAGTGGCAGTGATGTCACCATAGCGCTTGTGCCATGCTAGGTGCACTTTGAGGCCACGTGAAGTGTCGAAGGCCCACTGGCGGTAGGTCACGGTACAGACCCATGGGATTTAACGACGGTTGAGGCAAGTGCTGTTAGCGAGCACCTGTGAAGGCCGGAACGGCACACGAGAGTGTGGGTGGCCAGCACCACGCCTGGCTGCCTTTGTCTCCCTAGTGGCGAAGTTTTTTACACATCGCACCAGGTACTCATTTGAGGCTAAGTCGACCTAGGGGAGGCCCAGGACTGGTTCAGATAATCGCCACTGACGTTGGTGGCCATAAGCAGGAATTGAACTTGGGTCGCCGGATTCACAGCATAGCACCCTAACCGCTGCACCACTGCTCCCACGACAACACCACGTGCACACAAACACACACACACCACGTGCACACAAACACAAACGCACCACGTGCACACAAACACACCACGTGCACACAAACACACCACGTGCACACAAACACACCACGTGCACACAAACACACCACGTGCACACAAACACACCACGTGCACACAAACACACACACACCACGTGCACACAAACACACACACCACGTGCACACAAACACACACACCACGTGCACACAAACACACCACGTGCACACAAACACACACACACCACGTGCACACAAACACACACACACCACGTGCAAACACACACACACCACGTGCAAACAAACACACACACCACGTGCACAAAAACACATACACACCACGTGCACACAAACACACACACCACGTGCACACAAACACACACCACGTGCACACAAACACAAACACCACGTGCACACAAACACACACACCACGTGCACACAAACACACCACGTGCACACAAACACACACACCACGTGCACACAACCACACAAACACCAAGTGCACACAAACACCACGTGCACACAAACACATACACACCACGTGCACACAAACACACACACACACCACGTGCACACAAACACACACCACGTGCACATAAACACAAACACACACACACACCACGTGCACACAAACACACACCACGTGCACACAAACACACACACACCACGTGCACACAAACACATACACACCACGTGCACACAAACACACACATGCACACCACGTGCACATAAACACACACACATACCACGTGCACGCAAACACACACACACACAAACACACACCACGTGCACACAAACACACCATGTGCACACAAACACACACAACGTGCACACAAACACACACACACAACGTGCACACAAACACACACACACCACGTGCACACAAACACACACACACCACGTGCACACAAACACACACCACGTGCACACAAACACACACCACGTGCACACAAACACACACACACCACGTGCACACAAACACACACACACCACGTGCACACAAACACATACACACCACGTGCACACAAACACATACACACCACGTGCACACAAACACATACACACCACGTGCACACAAACACACACACCACGTGCACACAAACACATACACACCACGTGCACACAAACACATACACACCACGTGCACACAAACACATACACACCACGGGCACACAAACACACACACCACGGGCACACAAACACACACACACCACGGGCACACAAACACACACACACCACGTGCACACAAACACACCACGTGCACACAAACACACCACGTGCACACAAACACACACACACCACGTGCACACAAACACACACCACGTGCACACAAACACACACCACGTGCACACAAACACACACACCACGTGCACACAAACACACACACACACCACGTGCACACAAACACACACACACCACGTGCACACAAACACACACACACACACCACGTGCACACAAACACACACACACACACCACGTGCACACAAACACACACACACACCACGTGCACACAAACACACACACTCGGTACCTGCGGTGAGGTCTCCAAAGATGTAGTAGCACTGCTCCGAGAAGGTGATCTTGTTGACCGTGTGCCGGATGAGGCCAGCCTGCAGCAGGCGAGAGGCAAACTTCCTGGCGTCGCGCCGATCGGCAAAGCCCTCCACGTGGCTGAAGAGCCAGTCCACCACATCCGAGCCTACACACGCGCGCGTGCGCGCGCGCGCACACACACACACACCATCATCATCATCAGCAGCCGTCATCAATCCACCGCTGGGTTTACACGCCCACCGAGCTGTCGCCATCACTCACGGTCCTGAAAAGTATCACTCCACCCGGCACACACGAGCTGATTTTATCACTCCATCCCCACAGTGGACGTCATCTTGTGCCAGGGGTAAGTGTACTTTTGAGGTCACCTGAACTACCAAAAGCTCGCAGATGTAAGGTAAAGAGACAGAATCAGGTGTTTTGGATGAACTGAGATGACTGGCAGATGCACCAGCTGTGATCCACACTTTACAAATTTACTGCGTTTCAGCCATCCGGCACTCTGCTCGTTGTGAGCGTCGCTCCTCTGCCCTCCGCCGTTGCTGGATGGAGACTGCCTCCAATTGCCCAACAGCGTCATTCACAAGCCTCGTCCACGGAGACCAATCTTGACGCCGCTGGTACCGGTCATCGGCAAGTCCACTCAGCTCCATCTCTTCTCCAGTCCATCCCGCGCCAGTTTATCCCCCTCTATCCGGCCAAACACAAGCAGCTTGGGGCACGCGGTGGTTGGGCAGTGTGGACCACGAGACCCGACCACGCGACTCGGCCACCCATACGCTGGGACTCACCGATGAAGGCGTTCTGGATTTTGATCTTGAGCCACATGCGGTCGCGCACCTCCAGGCCGGACTCGGGCGCTGACATGGCCTTGGTGATGGTCACCATGTCGGTGTGCACGCTCAGCTGGTACTCGTCATAGCCTGCCGGGAGAGGGGATTGGCGGGCACGGAGGGTCACGGATGGCCACTGGTCACTAGCAGAGCCTTCAACGGAGCGGGGGGGGGGGGGCGGTAACACGTTCACAATTTGTTGTGGAGGTTCACGGTTCGAATCCGGCAGGCCGCCCCTTATTGCAGCGCTTGCGTGTGAACTGTGAAGTCCGACTCGCCGTTTGCTTGGCGGGGGAACGTTTAAAAGTTTAAGATCCCCGTGACGCCGCCGGCAAGGGCAGGGATAACACACAGTAGCACGGCAGGCTAATGCCCACTCGCAGGCCAGTGCTGGGTATCTTGCCGCAGAGGGACAGCTGCCACCAAGGGTGCCCCTTTTGAATGTATAGTGATGAGGCGCTTTGAGTGGCCAACACATTTAAATGCCAAACAAAATTCCACAAACCCCATACCACGCCCATACCTAACCCACATTAAACCTGCGCCACTGTAAACCCAACAGTAACCCCAGAGTGATGTGTAGTAGTCCCAGGGTAAGCCCCGTAGTGACCCCAGGGTGACTTGTGTAGTGTCCCCAGGGTGAGCCCCGTAGTGACCCCAGGGTGACGTGTAGTAGCCCCAGGGTGAGCCCCGTAATAAGCCCAGACTGACTTGTGTAGTAGCCCCAGGGTGAGCCCCATAGTGACCCCAGGGTGACGTGTAGTAGTCCCAGGGTGAGCCCCGAAATAAACCCAGAGTGAGCCCTGTAGTAAGCCCAGGGTGACTTGTGTAGTAGTCCCAGGGTAAGCCCCGTAATAAGCCCAGAGTGAGCCCTGTAGTAAGCCCAGGGTAAGCCCCGTAGTGACCCCAGGGTGACTTGTGTAGTAGTCCCAGGGTAAGCCCCGTAGTGACCCCAGGGTGAACCGTGCAGAGACCCCTGAGTGACCCGTGCAGTGACCCCAGGGTGAGAGCTGTAGTGACCTCTTGGGGACTCACGCTCGGACTCAGGCACAGAGGAGGTGAGCGAGGAGCTGCCGGAGGTCACGGTGCTCATCGAGTGGCTGGGCGGGTAGCGAGGGAACGTGCCCGTCATGGCCGCCGCCTGGGACACCCACACGGCCGGGTCGATGGGGCGCACCGGCTCGTCTGGACACGCGCACACACACACACGCACATTAACACACACAGCATGCTAACATTAACATACACGCACGCAAGTACACGCACGCACGTTAACATACACGCACGCAAGTACACACACGCATGTTAACACACGCACGCAAGTACACGCACGTTAACATACACGCACGCAAGTACACACACGCACGTTAACATACACGCACACAAGTACACACACGCATGTTAACACACACACATGCACATTAACACACATGCATGCTAACATTAACATACACGCACGCAAGTACACACACGCACGTTAACATACACGCACGCAAGTACACACACGCATGTTAACACACACACGCACATTAACACACACGCATGCTAACATTAACATACACGCACGCAAGTACACACACGCACGTTAACATACACGCACGCAAGTACACACACGCATGTTAACATACACGCACGCAAGTACACACACGCACGTTAACACACACGCACGTTAACACACGCACGCACGTTAACACACGCACGCACGTTAACACACACACGCACGTTAACATACACGCACGCAAGTACACACACGCACGTTAACATACATGCACGCAAGTACACACACGCACGTTAACACACACGCACGCAAGTACACACACGCACGTTAACATACACGCACGCAAGTACACACATGCACATTAACACACACGCACGCAAGTACACACACGCACGTTAACACACACGCACGCAAGTACACACACGCACGTTAACATACACGCACGCAAGTACACACACGCACGTTAACACACACGCACGCAAGTACACACACGCACGTTAACATACACGCACGCAAGTACACACACGCACATTAACATACACGCACGCAAGTACACATACGCACATTAACACACACGCACGCAAGTACACACATGCACGTTAACATACATGCACGCAAGTACACACACGCACATTAACATACACGCATGCAAGTACACACACGCACGTTAACATACACGCACGCAAATACGCACGTTAACATACACGCACGCAAGTACACACATGCACGTTAACACACACACACGTTAACATACACGCACGCAAGTAAACACACGCACGTTAACACACACACACGTTAACATACACGCACGCAAGTACACACACGCACGTTAACATACACACATGCAAGTACATACACGCACGTTAACACACACGCATGTTGACACACACGCACGCAAGTACACACACGCACGTTAACACACACGCACGTTAACACACACGCACACAAGTACACACACGCACGTTAACATACACGCCCGCAAGTACACACACGCACATTAACATACACGCACACAAGTACACACACGCGTGCGAGTAATAACACACACACGTGTACGTATGTGTACACACACACACAAACCTGTATAAAAAAGACAAAGATCCCCAGTTTAGTCTTAACAGACTGTTAGGGCAAGTGCTGTTAGCGAGTAGCGCCTACGAAGGCCGGCACGGCGCACGAAGGGGTGGGTGCCTTTGACTCCCCAGCGGTCTGTGTGTGTACGTGTCGACTCACTCCATCTGTGTGTGTGTCGACTCACTCCGTCTGTGTGTGTACATGTCGACTCACTCCGTCTGTGTGTGTACATGTCGACTCACTCAGTCTGTGTGTGTGTCGACTCACTCCGTCTGTGTGTGTGTGTGTCGACTCACTCCTTCTGTGAGTGTACGTGTCGACTCACACGGTCTGTGTGTGTGTCGACTCACTCAGTCTGTGTGTGTGTGTCGACTCACTCCGTCTGTGTGTGCGTGTCGACTCACTCAGTCTGTGTGTGCGTGTCGACTTACTGCGTGGGATGGTGAAGTAGCTGCGGGGAGTTGGGTCCCAGCACTTGGCCACGGTGAGGCTGATGGGCCTGGCGACACCACGGGTTTGTCCGTTCAGACACAAACACACACAATTGTAAATGCACATGGCATGGGTAAGTGTGTGTGTGCGTGCGGGCATGGGGAGCGGTAGCGTAGCTGTCGGCGCGCTGCGCTACGAACCCGGCGACCCAAGTTCGATTCTCGCTCATGGCCACCAACACCGGTGACGATTATCTGAACCGGTCCTGGGCCTCCCCTAGGTCGACTCAGCCTCAAATGAGCACCCGGTGCAGTGTGTAAACATCGCCACGAAGGAGACAAAGGCCGCCGGGCGTGGTGCTGGCCACCCACCCCCTGGTGTGCAGCAGCGCCTTACTTCATAGGTGCTCGCAAACAGCACTTGCCCCTACAGTCTGTTATGGGCTACACGGGGGGAGCTTTGTCGTTTGCGGGCGTGTGTACGAGGCAAGCTTGTCTGTGCGGATGTATGCGTTTGTGAGTGGAGGACACGCACAAGCAACTAATTTGTTGTCCATCCCCCCGCACCTCCGATAAGGACGGCTGGCTACGTACGGTGCGAAAGAAATTCAACGTCCGTACATAGTTTGTTCAATCAGTGATTTCCCGTCCATTGTACCTACTTGGCAGCTCCGATGACCGCCGCTAGACCCACGAGCTAGCCTGGTGTGCGGGGGGCATCGTCTGCGCCGTGTTCCGGGCCTCGTTGGTGCCCCCTCCCCCCACCAATTCTCTGAAGCTGTTCGGCCATCTCCTGCAGGTGGCCTGGCACCACGCGGTTCTCCTGAGGCCAGATGGAAGAGTCTCCGCTACTCGGGGTCTCATCCCCTTAGCAGCCATATATGACCCGAGTCTACTGAGTGCATGACCTGAGTCTACTGAGTGCATGACCTGAGTCTACTGACAGCAAGTGCATGACCTGAGTCTACTGGCAGCAAGTGCATGACCTGATTCTACTGAGTGCATGGCCTGGTTCTACTGGCAGCAAGTGCATGACCTGAGTCTACTGAGTGCATGACCTGAGTCTACTGGCAGCAAGTGTATGACCTGAGTCTACTGAGTGTATGACCTGAGTCTACTGAGTGCTTGACCTGAGTCTACTGGCAGCAAGTGCATGACCTGAGTCTACTGGCAGCAAGTGCTTGACCTGAGTCTACTGGCAGCAAGTGCATGACCTGAGTCTACTGGCAGCAAGTGCATGACCTGAGTCTACTGGCAGCAAGTGCATGACCTGAGTCTACTGAGCACATGACCTGAGTCTACTGAGTGCATGGCCTGGTTCTACTGGCAGCAAGTGCATGACCTGAGTCTACTGGCAGCAAGTGTATGACCTGAGTCTACTGAGTGCATGACCTGAGTCTAGTGAGTGCATGGCCTGAGTCTACTGGCAGCAAGTGCATGACCTGAGTCTACTGAGTGCATGGCCTGGTTCTACTGGCAGCAAGTGCATGACCCGAGTCTACTGAGTGCATGGCTCGAGTCTACTGGCGACTACCAGTCTCATCTTGGCAGCCACCGATGTGGCACGCAGTCATGTGGTGGAGTGCTGCTGTGCCGTGCTGGCGCGTGCGTGTAACACGGTACACGCGTGTAAACGCCGTCACTCACCCGGGCTTGTGCACCACTTCCCGAAGCACACGGACCGCATCGTCATTGCTCAGGTTCTCAAAACTGACCTCGTTAACCTGTGCAGAGAGAAACACATAATCGCCGTGAGCCACGGACAACCCACCGCTGCGCGGCCAAAGGGGCCCTAAGTCATTAAGCATTGCTTTTAAAAGGGTGGTGCAGTGAGGAGGATGATGAGGTCGCACGAGCCTGGTGACGATTTACGAACGGGAATCCCGAGCGCCCGCGTCGATCAGCGCGTGGACCGAGCGACAATTTGGAGTCGACACAAATTGAGGGCAAACATTGCCTTGCGAGGCAACGGGGCGGAAGCGGGCAGTACGAACGTCGTCGACAAACACAAATCAGACGGGCAGCAAAATAAATTTACGACGCAGGCCGATCCGTGAGGTTTGTCACGTGAACACAACGTGGCCAATTGGTTACTACTCCAGCACGCCAGTGTGTGGGAGAGTAGTGAATCATAATTTAAATGTGTAAAGCGAACCTTAAACAATCGTTCTATGTAAACCTCCAACGTTTGCAATTCGAGCATGGACACAATCACATTTACGCGATTTAACCCCAAAAAAAAACTTTATTATGGACACCTATTGGTGGCGAAAGCCTCCTGACAACTCTTACGACGTGTTAAATAGTTTAAATTTAATTATCGTCGGCCTCCCGGCCTGGCTAGCCATGGCAGACTCTGCCCACCCCACCTTCCCCCCAACCTCCCTCCGCCCCCCCACCGCACCTGCAGCAGCATGTCGCCGGGCTCGATGCGCCCGTCGGCTGCAACAGCGCCGCCTTTCATGATGGAGCCGATGTAGATGCCGCCGTCTCCGCGCTCGTTGCTCTGCCCCACGATGCTGATGCCCAGGAAGTTGTACTTCTCTGCAAACGACACGAGGAGTGGGAGGCGGGGGTTGGGTCCCTCGTTCACTGGTGGAGGCAGGGGACTCGTACGACGTGACAAGGCAGCAGTAGCAGCAGTAGGAGCAGCAGCAGTAGCAGCAGTAGGAGCAGCAGCAGTAGCAGCAGGAGTAGCAGCAGTAGCAGAAGAAGCAGTATCAGCAGTAACAGCAGCAGAAGAAACAGTATCAGCAGAAGCAGCTGCAAGAAAAGAAGCAGTAGCAGCAGAAGCAGCTGTAGCAGCAGATGCAGCAGAAGCAAGCAGATGCAGCAGAAACAGTAGCAGCAGAAGCAGCAGTAGTAGCAGAAACAGCAGCAGTATCAGCAGCAGCAGAAACAGCAGCAGCAGTAGCAGAAGAAGCAGTAGCAGCAACTGCAGCAGAAGCAGCAGCAGATGCAGCAGAAGAAGCAGTAGATGCAGCAAAAGAAGAAGCAGCAGCAGATGCAGCAGCAGATGCAGCAGCTTGTGGGCGGCAGGGTTCATGGCGGCGGCGCAGTGCCCACGCAGCAACAAGCGGCCTGCGTTCGATTCCCGACTCGGGCGACTTTCTCCGCGGAGTTTGTATGTCTGTATGTATCTTTGTATGTTCTCCCCCTGTTCTGCGAGGGGTTTTCCTCCGAGTTAGTCCCATTGGCAAAGACAAAACACAACGCGATAGGTATTAGACCAAAAAACCTGGCGGTGCTGAAATAAAAAAAACACTGCCTGGAAACAACTCAATTGGGATCACACAAATCAGCAGAAGCAGCACTCCCCACCCCCTCCTACTGCAGAATGAAAACTTGGCAGATAAAGAGGAATGAGACTCAGTGAGGCTCTCCTGGACAAATTAGCGAAGTAGTAGGAGTAATAATCACAAAAAATACATCACATCCCAATCCCATTGCCCTGCTGCAGTCTCGTACCAAGGTGTACACATTTAGAAACGTGCACTGACACTATTTTAGGATTATTTTGCTGCTATGTAATTGTACAAATGATGAGCCACTTTTGTTGAGATTTTATTTGTGATAGCCAGGCCGCTTCTGAACAATACGTTAATACCTTCAGTGGGATTTGCCTGATGCGATGGGAATGGTTTGTTGTTGTTTTTTTTGTGTTTGGGCGATTTGTTGACCTTTCTTGTACTTTACACTCCTATCACGTGTTTTTCTACTGTTTGTTGTTGTAACATTCTTACTCCGTGCCCCTACTGGACATATGTGAAAAATAGTTTTATAGCTTAGATTCCTCCCGCAGTATAAATATTCTGATTGCGATAGTGATAGTTCTGTCAGCAGGGGGCGATGTTTGCCATGCCAGTTTTTTTTCACCAAATTCCGTAACTCGAGAGCACATTTATGGGATTTGGCAAAAAAATGTGTACCGTGGCGACTCCAACCCACAAGGCCTACGGCCCTTGATCGAATAATCTCCACTCTGAAGCAGCCAAGGCGTCTGTTAACCATGATTCCCGCAGTGTTAACCGGACCAGTCACTGGCCTTGAACCCATAAGCAGCGTACGTGCCACAGAGGGTGGCTTCATGGCTCGACTTGAGAACCCCGTTTAGCCACGGGCAGCTGCTAAGGCGCCAGACTGGAACCGCCCCCCCCCCACCCGGCCAACCCCCCACCCTATACCCCACCACCCGGGGTTCTGGGTCACTTCTCGCGTCCTCCCTCTCTGCCAACGCACCCATGTTGAGGGTCACGGTGATGATGTTGAGCGACATGGTGGAGTCCGTGATGCTGCTGAACGAAGAAGCCTGGGGAAACAGACGCACGGCGGCACGGGGTGGGGGGCACACAAGGCGGTAAATGTAAGAATCCGGGACAGCCCTAGACTCAGATACTGCATTAGTGTTTACCCAAGACTCAGACACAACCCTAGCCCAGACTCAGACACTCCCTGGACTGCCCGAGCCCAGACTCAGACAGAGCCCTAGCCACTACCCTAGACTTAACCCTGGACTCAAGACACTGCCCTAGCCCAGACTCAGACACTGCCCTAGCCCAGACTCAGACACTGCCCTAGCCCAGACTCAGACACTGCCCTAGCCCAGACTCAGACACTGCCCTAGCCAGACTCAGACACTGCCCTAGCCCAGACTCAGACACTGCCCTAGCCTGGACTCAGACACTGCCCTAGCCCAGACTCAGACACTGCCCTAGCCCAGACTCAGACACTGCCCTAGCCCAGACTTAGACACTGCCCTAGCCCAGACTCAGACACTGCCCCAGCCCAGACTCAGACACTGCCCCAGCCCAGACTCAGACACTGCCCCAGCCCAGACTCAGACACTGCCCTAGCCCACACTCAGACACTGCCCTAGCCCAGACTCAGACACTGCCTCAGCCCCGACTCAGACACTGCCCTAGCCTAGACTTAGACACTGCCCTAGCCCAGACTCAGACACTGCCCTAGCCCAGACTCAGACACTGCCCTAGCCCAGACTCAGACACTGCCCTAGCCCAGACTCAGACACTGCCCTAGCCCAGACTCAGACACTGCCCTAGCCCAGACTCAGACACTGCCCTAGCCTAGACTCAGACACTGCCCTAGCCCACACTCAGACACTGCCCTAGCCCAGACTCAGACACTGCCCTAGCCCAGACTCAGACACTGCCCTAGCCCAGACTCAGACACTGCCCCAGCCCAGACTCAGACACTGCCCTAGCCCAGACTCAGACACTGCCCTAGCCCAGACTCAGACACTGCCCTAGCCCAGACTCAGACACTGCCCTAGCCCAGACTCAGACACTGCCCTAGCCCAGACTCAGACACTGCCCTAGCCCAGTCTCAGACACTGCCCTAGCCCAGACTCATACAGAGCCCAAGCCACTGCCCTAGACTTAACCCTGGACTCAAGACACAGCCCTAACCCAGACACAGACAGAGCCCTAGTCTTAACCTGGCAATCAGGCACAACCCAAGGCCAGGGTCAGACACAGCCCTAGTCTTAAACGCGCGGTGAAATGTATCAAAACATGGAATAGCAATGAGACAAAGAGTGTTCTCGTGCGCTCGAGACACAAACAAAACGCTGGGAAGTAAGACCAATGACCTCCCATCTAGACCAGGGGTGAGTGGGGGGAAACCTCTTCGTTCATGAGAGTCACGTAGCAACGGGCAGTGTGAGATGAAGTCGTGGGCCCTGTGAAATGGAGTCCTGGGATACATAAAATGGAGTCCTGGGATACATAAAATGGAGTCATGGGACACGTGAAATGGAGTCATGGGATACGTGAAATGGAGTCATGGGACACGTGAAATGCAGTCCTGGGATACATAAAATGGAGATATGGGACACATGAAATGCAGTCATGGGACACATGAAATGGAGTCGTGGAATACAAAAAATTGAGTCATGGGATACGTGAAATGGAGTCGTGGGATACATGGAATGGAGCCATGGGATACAAAAAATGGAGCCATGGGAAACATAAAATGGAGTCTTGGAACATGAAATGGAGTTGTGGGACACATGAAATGGGGTCATGGGACACGAAATGGAGTCGAGGCATACGTAAAATGGAGTCATGGGATACATGAAATGGAGGCATGGGGCACGTGAAATGCAGTCCTGGGATACATAAAATGGAGTCATGGGACACATGAAATGGAGTCTTGGAATACATGAAATGGAGTCATGGGTCACATGAAATGGAGTCGTGGGATACATAAAATGGAGTCGTGGGACACATGAAATGGAGTCATTTGACACGTGAAATGTTGTAATGGGATACATGAAATGGAGTCCTGGGGTACATAAAATTGAGTCGTTGGACGTGAAATGGATTCATGGGACATGTAATGGAGTCATGTAATCCATGAAATTAAGTCATAGGATACATGAAATGGAGTCCTGAGAAATGTAAAATGGAGTAATGGGAAACATAAAATGGAGTCGTGGGATGTGTAATGGCATCATGGAATCCATGAAATGGAGCCATGGGACACATGAAATGGAGTCCTGGGATACATGAAATGGAGTCATTGGAAACATGAAATGGAGTCGTGGAATACATGAAATGGAGCCATGGGATACGTGAAATGGAGGCATGGGACACGTGAAATGCAGTCCTGGGATTCATAAAATGGAGTTATGGGATACATGAAATGGAGTCGTGGGACACATGAAATGGAGTCGTGGGACACATGAAATGCAGTCATGGGATACGTGAAATGCAGTCATGGGATACATGAAATGGAGTCCTGGTACACATGAAATGGAGTCCTGAGAAGCGTAAAATGGAGTCATGGGATGTAAAAAATGGAGTCGTGGGATGCGTAATGGCATCATGGAATCCATGAAGTGGAGCCATGGGAAACATGAAATGGAGTCGTGGGATACGTAAAATGGAGTCATGGGATATGTGAAATGGAGTTATGGGACACATGAAATGGAGTCATGGAATCCATGAAATGGAGCCATGGGGCACATTAAATGGAGTCCTGGGATACATGAAATGGAGATATGGGACACATGAAATGGAGTCGTAGGATACATGAAATGGAGTCATGGGACACACTCAATGGGGTCGTGGGATACATAAAATGGAGTCATGGGATACATGAAATGGAGTCGTGGGATACATGAAATGGAGTCATGGGTCACATGAAATGGAGTACTGGGATACATAAAATGGAGTCGTGGGACACATGAAATGGAGTCATTTGACACGTGAAATGTTGTCGTGGGATACATGAAATGGTGTCATGGGCACATTAAATGGGGTCATTGGAAACATACACTTGAGTCATGGGATACATGAAATGGAGTCCTGGGGTACATAAAATTGAGTCGTTGGACGTGAAATGGAGTCATGGGACGTGTAATGGAGTCATGTAATTCATGAAATTAAGTCATAGGAAACATGAAATGGAGTCCTGGGAAACGTAAAATGGAGTAATGGGAAACATAAAATGGAGTCGTGGGATGTGTAATGGCATCATGGAATCCATGAAATGGAGCCATGGGACACATGAAATGGAGTCATGGGATACATGAAATTGAGTCATCGGTCACATGAAATGGAGTCCTGGGATACATGAAATGGAGGCATGGGGCACGTGAAATGCGTTCCTGGGATACATAAAATGGACTAATGGGATACATGAAATGGATTCATGGGACACATGAAATGGAGTTCTGGGACACATGAAATGGATTCCTGAGAAACGTAAAATGGAGTCATGGCATACATAAAATGGAGTCGTGGGATGTATAATGGTATCATGGAATCCATGAAGTGGAGCCATGGGACACATGAAATGGAATCGTGGGATACGTAAAATGGAGTCATGGGATACGTGAAATGGAATCATGGGATACATGAAATGGAGTCGTGGGATACATGAAATGGAGTCGTGGGATACATGAAATGGAGGCATGGGACACGTGAAATGCAGTCCAGGGATACATAAAATGGAGTTATGGGACACATAAAATGGAGTTGTGGGACACATGAAATGGAGTCATGAGATACATGAAACGGAGTCATGGGGCACGTGAAATGGAGTCCTGGGATACTTGAAATGGAGTCGTGGGACACATAAAATGGAGTCATAGGATACATGAAATGGAGTCATGGGAGATGAAATGGAGTCGTGGGACACGTGAAATGGGAATTGTGGGATACATGAAATGGAGCCGTGAAACACATTAAATGGAGTCATGGGGGGATACATGAAATGGAGTCATGGGGCACATGAAATGGAGTCCTGGGATACATGAAATGGAGTCATGGGACACATGAAATGGAGTCATGGGGTACATGAACTGGAGTCATGGGATGTGAAATGCAGTCGTGGGACACGTGAAATGGAGTCGTGGGACACGTGAAATGAGTCCTGGGATACATGAAATGGAGTCGTGGGTCACATGAAATGGAGACGTGGGATACATGAAATGGAGTCCTGGGATACATGAAATGGAGTCGTGGGATACATGAAATGGCGTCGTGGGATACATGAAATGGAGGCATGGGGCACGTGAAATGCTGTCCTAGGATACATGAAATGGAGTCGTGGGACACATGAAATGGGAGTTGTGGGACACATGAATTGGAGCTGTGAAACACATTAAGTGGAGTCATTTGACACGTGAAATGTTGTGGGATACATGAAATGGAGTCGTGGGACATGAAATGGAGTCGTGGGACATGAAATGGAGTCGTGGGACATGAAATGGAGTCGTGGGACATGAAATGGACTCGTGGGATACATTAAATGAAGTCGTGGGATACATGAAATGGAGGCATGGGGCACGTGAAATGGAGTCGTGGGATACATAAAATGGAGTTATGGGACACATGAAATGGAGTAATGGGGTACATGAAATGGAGTCATGGGACATGAAATGGAGTCATGGGATACATAAAATGGAGCTGTGGGACACATGAAATGGAGTCATGGGACGTGAAATGGAGTCCTGGGACACATGAAATGGAGTCGTGAGAAACGTAAAATGGAGTCATGGCATACATAAAATGGAGTCGTGGGATGTATAATGGCATCATGGAATCCATGAAGTGGAGCCATGGGACACATGAAATGGAGTCGTGGGATATGTAAAATGGAGTCACGGAATACGTGAAATGGAGTCATGGGATACATGAAATGGAGTCGTGGGATACGTGACATGGAGTCATGGGAAACATGAAATGGAGTCTTGGGAGATGAAATGGAGTCATGGGAGATTAAATGGAGTCGTGGTACACATGAAATGGAGTCATGGGACAAATTCAATGGGGTCATGGGATA